GGAGAGAGAGAGAGAGAGAGAGAGAGAGAGAACTAAGCTCTTACAGACAGAGTTTGGGGGGAAGAGCTGAACCAAACACCCCAAAACCCTTTTGAGACACCTCCTAGAGAGGAGGGGTTGTGGACTCCCACTTGAGGGGAGTCTTGGAATGCAGCAGTACTGGAGAGAGGAGCTGAGAAGCTCAAGACGTCCTGGAAGCTGGACTGGGACGGCCAGACGGAATGCGGAGGGGGTGATCTTTCCCCCTCCCCACTGCTGCTGCCAGGCTGGCAGCCTGAGACAGCACAGGAGCTCTGGTAGAACTCGTGAGGCTAAGACTTTCAACTGAAAGCTGCCCGAGACATTCTGACTCAGGGGTAAACTCCCTGAGGAAAGAGACCATCAGGAAGACCCTTGCACTTCGTGATATGACGTGGTGAGACGAACCTTTGTCCTGGTTAACGCAGTCCATGGAAGAGAGAGACCTTCACTTGGAGTCGAAGGGCCGAGAGGGGCGAGAGGAGACCCCCCTTGTGTGTAATGGAAAGAGATCCAGCTACAGTTGCTGCATGGAAGAAGAGAGGCTGCTGCCCTCAAAGTGGAAAGGATCTTTCCCTTCTTCCCTTCTGGACTTTTATTGGAGGGAGAAGAGATTTGATCCAATGTAAATACTGATTTATCATAGGAGAGATAGTTAAGATTATGTATATAATGTATTTATAATATTTATTTGTGTAGCGATTGTAATATAATTCCCTTCCCCCCATATTGAGTCTTATGTTGTGTCTGGAAAAACCCCTCTCACACTGGGGTGAGATGTGAGAGGGGGTCTTGAACTCAGGAATTGGATTTTGGGGGTCTCAAACTACGACAGCATTTCCTATATTAAATCTGAATAAGTGGTCTTTCGTTATTTCCTCGTATATAAATTGAAAAGGCTGTGATTTCAATAATTAAGCAGCAGTAGTTGCTTCAGAAATCTCAATTCTTCTTGATAAAATATGAAGTGCTTTGTGGCATTTTTATCTAAAGAACATACGGATGTGCACTGTTGAGGTGAAAGAATGCAGACTGATTTAAAATGTGCTTTGACTACACAGCATATACAGGCATTCAAATACGTATGTATATTGGTACATAAACACCAAGCATACAACCTGCTCCACTGAACAATAAAGTTCATAAATCATAGGTCTTGAATGTTAAATACAGAAATAATTGGAATTAACTCATGCAGTGAAACTGTAGTGATGCAGACTAGGCATTACAGTCCTGACATAAAGCTGTTGAAGCACTGAGACAGCTCAAAAAATGAGGATAAATTGCTTCTGCTTTGCAGTGCTCTGTTCCACTGTTGTCTTGTATGCCTCTGCCCATTGCTTCTTTCTCCGAATGGAAGTTTTAGTGCTTCTGGTTAGTGCTGCAGTCATACCTTTAGAGACTAAAATCTCCATTTGATGCTTGAGATAAATACTTCAAAAACTGCAGTAGGGCACACTTTCCCACAGCGCAAGGTTTCTCATCAGAGCTGACCTCAAATGCTGTGGTGATGCAACCCACCTCTGGTGGGGGGAGAAGTTCAGCCTTTCTGTGTGTTCCTTTCTGCTTACCTCAATAAAACTCACAAAAAAGCGGCTAAATAGCATAAAGTGTAACTGGTTATTTCTGCTGTAGTGATCAGTACAGTGAATCATGAGGTTGGCCAGCTTCCTTTTGGGTTAAAACACTGGAAAACCTTCAGCAGCAAAACTACATTTCCGAGGAGTAAATCACCCACAGCTAATTATCGGTATGCTTGAAGTGCATATCACAAGCATGGGCTTAGATAGCGCTGAGGTTTATATTTCTGTGTTCCCAGCATTTCTAACTAATTCCTGTTGGTTGCAGGCAGTGGAGTGGCAATGTGATGAAGCTACTAAAAGAGCCTGTTACAGTAAAGGCAAATCAAAGGTAAGCACCAGATAGCTGTTCTGCTTTAATAAAATTTATATGTTATAGCAGGTGTAATTCAGCGTATAAATCACTACCCTCTGCATCTTTACTGTCCTTTTTCTGAAGAGAGTTGAAGAAAAGGAGTTTGACACTGACGTATAACCAAAGGATTAAAAAAGAATATAGGGATTGTGAGGTTAGAGATACAGTCATGTGATTCTTTTCTGAAATGATCACTAGCTTTAGCCACCAACAATTTACTGTTTTGACTCCACAGGCTAAACAATGACACGTCATGTGTAGCGGACTGCATTCTCACTTCATTTTCAGTGCTGTAAATGATGCATAACTGCATGATTACTTTGTAAAATCCTTAATTTATATTCTTGTGTATTAGATGCAATTTTTTGAACTTTTATATTTCCTTTTTACTGGTGCTATACAGAAAATCATGTTAAATTCACTAACCTCTCTAGACATAGGACTTGATATATTTTTAGTATTTAGAGCCAATTCTTTATCTGGCTTACTGCAATTTCGAAATTTTATTCAGCACAGGTAAATGTAATGCTAAGATGGAACATCCATCAGTGCTGTGTTCCTTTGTGGCTGCCCCAACCTGAAGCTAATTGTCAAATGAATTATAAAAGCAGTTAGAATTGCATGCAGTCTATGTTTGTAATTATTATAGTGTTTAATGATTGCAGTTAATTCAGTTAAAACATACAGGGAAAACACATCAAGAATGATGACTGCAAAAGAGCATGCCTGCTTTTATTCAGCAGAACATGTCAGCATACATCATTGTTGTGCAAAACTCAAAAAACTCCAAGCTCCAAAAACATATTCCTAAAGCACTGCCATCTAGTAGAGGATGAGTTTCTTCTGCATAGTTATTTAATCCCTGACTTTATAACTTCTCACATTAAACAGTTTATTTCCAGCTCTTTTTTACTGAGTTCTGGAAAAAAAAAAATGCAGTGTACAGTTGTACACTGTTGTACACACTAAATTTGAGATTAAAGAGGAAGAATGGCCTCACTTCAGAAGCAGGGCCTTGTTATATCATGAGGTATAGAAAAGAAAGAACTTTTGGGACCTCATATTTTAAGCAAATGTTTAATTTTTTAAGTTGTTATTTCTCACTAGAAAATTTACGCTTCTACATGTAATATGTCCCTCAAGCCTTTATCCTTAGCTTTCAGATGACAATACTTGGAAGTAAGGGAATGTGCTCAAGTGACAATAAAATATGACAGATTGCACTGATCAAGGGCCTTATACAGTAGAACCTATTCTGGTATGAATGCAATGTGTAACTAAACATTTACGACTTTGTTTTACAGTGATTTTCCAAGTTAAAGCTGTGAGAAAAACATTCAACTTGTCTGAAAGTCACAGTGCAGTGATGGATGAAAGTAATTGTAGATTCGAGGCTATAGTAGTGTACTTTTGAATAATACGTTGACAACGTTACCACATTTGCTTCAACAGTGCAAAGCGTATGCTGCTGTTAAATAATTTTGCTAGGAGAAATACTCAACACTGGTTAAACACATTTAAGAATGGACCTTAGTGTAGTTTTTTATTCATGCAGAGTTTCATTCATGTTCATCACAACCTTTTGTAGAACCTGATGATTAGAAGTTAGGCTGTCACTGTAAAATAATAAAATGCTATTCTAATAATGACCTCTGGGATTGTTTCTTAGTATTGTTATTTTTTTGATAAAGATTTCCGTGGTACCCATAGACATGTTCCTCATTCGCAATCTGGAAGAGGAGTACAACCCTGATTCTTCTTTACATTCAAAAGTAATCCTGGAAGTAAATAGGTATTGTTACCACAGGGTTTGTTTTTTGTTTTGTTTTTTTTTTTCTTTTTGCGTGAAGACTTTATGGCCTGAAAGCTTCACATGGGAGTTGCTGGAGAATGCAGAGATATTGACTGAGGCAACCTACCCAGCTGGAATGACAACTGTCTTTTTGAACTTTTCATGCCTCTTTTTTTTCACTGATGTGCTTGAGGTTAAAAATCAAAGGATACATTTATGACCAGAGAAAAGATAGCCTAATGATGTTTGTCTTTTATTGCCTTATTTCCAAGACTAAAGCAAGGTCACTATACTCTCTGTAGAAGGAGGACTTATGCATGCAGATGAGGAAAGCAGCTGCTATGTGGCATGCTTCTCCTCCTAGTCAAACCACAAAAGCCTTCCCTTGGAAAAACTGGGAATTATCAGACCAGGAGGAATTCACTGCAGTGCTACAGGGAATTGTCCCTCTTCAGAGGGAATCTCCTGGCAGACACAGTTACTGTTATTAGAAAAACTGCTTGTTTGACTGTTGTAGTATAAATAGATCGAGCCCAAACTGGAGAGTTGCTGGGGGTTGCATTTCTAGAACATTTCTCAGGGCTAATTCAAATTTCAGGGCAGACACATGTGACTACAGGAAAGGGACAGGAAAGACTGGAGACAAAATAAGTTAAGGCCAGCTCAGACTGTGGTGAAGGAGAGATGAGAATTGCAAGGATGGCCATGGGTAGATTATTCATTCAGATCCTGGTTTCTCTTGAAGCTCTGCTGACCACAGAGCAGCATGGGAGCAATGAGTTCAGGTGGCAAAACTAAAAGTCAGCTTACTGATGGAGTCACTGCCCTAAAATCAGGAGCTAGCTTTGAACCCTAAAGCAACTCTAGTAGTTTTGAGGTAATGGTCAGTGAAACATAACTCTTTTTTTTGTTCTTGAGAAAGAAGCTGTATGGAATTTTTGCCTGTAGCTGTTATCAGTGCTTGTTGTTCTGAAGTTTATGCTTTAGGAGCCAACAAGAAAAGAGCTGAAGGGGAAAATGTATAGGGACATCTGTCACATTTGACAGTGTAATGCGCACTTGACTTTTGAAGGCCGATGTTTGTTACTCAGACTTCAGACATTTATCCACCAATTTAAGCTGTTGCTTAAAATAACAAGTGGCTTCAAGAGTGAGTCAGACAAAATTATGTCCTTGTGACCAGCATGCATTAGCATTTAGAAGTCTAAAACATCACACATGGTTAAGAGAATAAATTTGCCCATTCATACTGACACTTGTGGTAGGAAATGTTAGAAAGGAAAAATATAAATGCACACGTTAAAAATGCAATAAACCAAAGATATTAAAAATAATAATGATAATTGAAATTAAGTCCCATCCCTTGCTTATTTAAGATTCTAATGGTTATATGTGTTATATCTGATCTGTCAATAAAAGTATATAAAAATTAGGCCACAGGTGTGTTTAAAATGTTGACATTGCTGCAAGTGGATAACCATACTGCAGCCAGAGTCTCCTTGAACTCTCAAGGTAGTCTTAAACTTAAGTAACAGCCTAGCCTGCTTGGCTGCTGAATTGTTTCTAACAGTTTTATTTTGTTTCAGATATGCTGATGTAGAAGTACAAAGTAATTCCTAAATTAATTTCTTTATTTCAGACATATTTTTATAGGAAAACAGGAAAGTATATGCCATAGAGGTCAAGATGAACTGGAGAATAAGACTACATAAAAGATGGCTATTAAACCTAATACTGCCCTCTGAACTAAAAAATATTTTGCTTTTGAAATCCTTTACATTCACCACTGCCACTTTTACAATACACATCTCCATTTTAAATGTGTCAAAAGTGTACCAGTACCACCAAGCTTGACTCCAGAGCTAGAAAAGTATCTCTGAACAATTCAAATGACTGAACAATGAAGTCATTTTTCAGTATGTTTTCGGGTGGTGATTGTTTTATTAATAACAATTTTTTTAAAATTTGTTTTCTATTAATGTGAACTTTTTTTTCATATGAAGAAAACAGACACTTAAAAAAGCTATTCTTTGTCTGCCCGACAAAAATTTGAAATGAGATGTTTTATTTGCTCTGTTGCAGTATGGATTATTGTCAAGTTGGCACAGGACTTGGGAACATTAAAGAGAAGAATCCTGTGATTCCCAAGAATGCCAGAGTTTAAAAAATTAACATTATTTTTGAACAAAAAGAGTGGGTGATCAGCATGCAAGTAATTTGGAATAGACACTGTTTCAGGGAGCTCTGGAATATGAAGAGGAGAGGTTGGGTACGTCGTAATGTCAGAACCCACTTATTTTTCCTACACTTACATTCCATGGCTTGCAGCAAAGGGCAGAATGGAAACAGACCAAAGAATAAATTACTGTCGTACATTCTATCAACCTCCCTGAGCACCCTTCCCACAAAAAAAAATTAAAAAATAAAAAAAAAAAAAAAGGAATTGCTTTCAATTGTTGGGCTTTTTGGTTTTCTTTTCTTTCTTTTGTTGATGGTGTTAAAGCAGCCTAAAACACGGAAACTGCCTGTACTGCCAAGATTTGAAATTATTTCTTTATAAAAGGCTTGTTGCACTGCCCAACTCTGTTTTATGGTTGCATGTTTGCTTCTTTGTGGTTTAAGGAATATTAAAATGACAGTTTTTTAAAGTTCAGTATAAAAACTTTGTATTTTTTACAGAATAGGAATCAAATTTTATTTCTAAGACGTTTGGCCCTTACCTTTAAAGGCTCAAAGACAAGCATTTAAAAGCAACATTTTCATCATTTTCATGAGAGACTAGTTTAAATGTGGGTTTGAGAACGATTTTTTCAAAGAGGTAGGGTTTTTTTCTGAGATTTTACATGATTTTTTTAGTTTATTTTTAACTTTTTTTTTACGAGGAAAGTTATAGAAGATAAATCTTGAGAGTTTTCTCAGAGATCTTTAAAGTATTTTCTTCATCTTCTTTTGCAGTCTATTTTGTGCCTGTTCAATTTATTCAGGATTATATTTGTTTTCTTCTAGGATGAGAGTCTATTTTCAAGATAAACAAGCAATACATTTAATATAACTGTAGGCCAGATAATGGGACTTCTGCACCATTACTATTGTATGGATTTACTTACATGATTTCACTTAATATCTGCTGGAATTGCATAGCTGTAATTTCACAAGGTTTTTTCATGCTTTATATGAGACTATCTTGTGATGAATGCTAGAGAGTATTCAAATGCTAGTTTCTAGGAAACTATTTTCTCCAAACAAAACTTTATTTTCTCCAAACATATTATTGATCATTTTATCAGATAGGGACACTGATTTTTGCAAGAGCGGTGTTTGAATCTTTCCTACCTACAGTTCTGGGAGATTTTTAATATTGCAGGAGAAGGCTTTCTGTCTGAATAAACAGTAGAATTTGATGTTCGTTTCCAGCTTCTGAAATGAGAGACATGAGTATCACAAAGCCTTCACACATTCTAATGGGGTAAAAAGGATGTAAAGTTATTCCTCAGGGTGAGCATCTTTGTATCGCGGTAATGAAATTTTTGAGAAACTTTGAATTAAGAGGAAAGTAGATGCTTCTAATAAAACAGATTATGTAAATTATAAAATCAGTGGTAACAAATCCACATCTGAATATCTCAAGAATTTTATTTGTACTGGTTTCGATATGGTCTTGTTACTGACAGACTGTTCTTTCTCCTGTTTTCCTCACAACTTCTTTCCTTAGCCAATCTGTCTTTGAAATCAGCATCTGATCTCTTGAGAGAGAAGTGCATTTAAGGCAGCATCTATCTATTCAGAATTTAGCTAAACCTTTGAGATGTACCCTGAGAAGAAATCTCCAATACTGAAGAGGTTTATTGTTATCCTGTTAAGAACATTTTGGGAAGGTTGATGGATGCATGTGTTTCAATTAAGAAATCTATGCATATCGTAATTGCTAACACATTGGGTATGCTTAAACCTTGTTCCCTAAAAGATTTTCTGTGTGGACACATAACCGTGGAAAGCAAAGTGTAATTAGTCTCCTCAACAGTTTGAAGTATCACTGAATATACTTTTTTTGCATCACAGGAGGAATGCCAGAACTATATTCGAGTGCTTCTTGTGGGAGGCAAGCATCTCTTCACCTGTGGAACCAATGCCTTCACTCCAATCTGCACCAATCGAACGGTATGAGTTTTGCCTCACAGGCTGGAATCCTGTTCTAGGCCAGCAGATTAAAAGGCAGAGCATGCTGTGGTTGAGAACTGGCTATTTGCATGTTGATGGGTGAGCTGATTTGTAAAAGGCTGATTTAGCTAGTGGCAGGCCAAATAGGAGAGCTAACCAATGATCTCTTTTTGCAGTCTTTTCCTCAGCTATGAGAGGAGCAGAGCTATGAGCAGCTCAACTCCTACAGGGAAATTTTCCTGAACTTTAGGTATTTCTAAGACTTCTGCCACTATGTCAAGTTTGGTTAGCATCAACTGGGTTAGTTATAAAATGTAGTTGCATAGCTGCATCCTTTGTATGTGTAGTTATGGAGAAATGAGAGTACATGTAACTTCTTTCTGATGAAAATCAGAAATCTTGGTTAAGAAGGTCTGTCATTCTGTTTTCAAAACACCCCTAATTGTAGGATCAATAAAAGTCATCATATCAAAATGTCACTGTTTGGACTAGCTGCCTATATATGTCAGGATGGGAGAAACATTTAAATACAAAGAATAACTGTATCACTAAAAACTCCTAGGCACATTTATTATATTTAAAACCATTTTACCTTTTCTTTCAAATAGCACATTAACATCATACTGTGTTTTATGGCTGAAAGTATTTGGGCTATGAAATCAGAGATGGTTCTGCTATATTGGAAAGCTCCTTTTGTTAATCTCATTTTTCATGTGAGATTATTTCCTGAAATACACCAACAAAACAAATAATAGATTTATTTTTTTTTAATTGTCTAGTTGTTTGCTACAGTGAATACCTTAGTTGATTCTGGCAATCAGGTCTGTTTTTCTTTTACATAGTAACAATCTTTGTACAGATAACTAATTTTTGAGTTGCTTCTAATAGAAAACATTTTAGCCATGGTGACTAATGATTGTCATGCATGTTTTACATACCAAAGTAGCAAAAGCAAACTGGACAACATGGCAATAAAACTTCCTATATGAGAAAATTTCAGATTGATGTAAAGGTTAGCTCATCACTATTGTACAGTACCAAAGCAGATAACTGGTATTTATGGTAGGATTTTGCTCAGATTGATATAGCTTGGCTGAAATTATAATTTTTAGGTAATTTTAATCCCTTTTTCTAATTCTTTTACAGTTAAGTAACTTGACAGAGATACATGACCAAATCAGTGGCATGGCTCGTTGTCCTTACAGTCCCCAGCACAACTCCACTGCTCTTCTCACTTCCAGTGGGGAATTATATGCTGCTACAGCCATGGATTTTCCAGGAAGGGATCCTGCTATTTATCGAAGTCTGGGGGCTCTTCCTCCTCTCCGGACTGCCCAGTACAACTCCAAGTGGCTGAATGGTGAGTGCTGATAGAATGTGAGACTCAGGTTTTTTTAACCCATGTTCTTCATATTCATGGTCTTGAGATTGCATTCTGATAATTGAAATGTTTTTAAAGTATTGTTTATCTCATTTTAAAATTATTTGCATAATCATTATTTTACAAGTATAAGTATTATGGAATTTAGTTAATATAGGTGAAATTTGTGGAAATTCACTTAAATATGTGTCGTGTTTGAAGGCATAGGGATGAGCTGCACTTGCGGTGCGCTTGCATGGCAAAGCTGAGTCAGCTTTGAGCGGTAGCTTGCCTTGAGTGTTCTTTTGTTGAGTCCTTCAAGAACTTAAGGCATAAAATAAACAATTTAGAATGGACTGAATTCTCTTGGCTTTCCCTGCAGGTCTCAGCTTTGACAGGCAGAAAAATTTGGCTTCCAAGCTGCTTAGGTGGCAGACTGACGTTTTTGACACTTTCTATAGCCAAAATATAGGGAATTGTCTGCAAAACACATCATAAAATTGTGTTCAGCAATCAATGCTCTGTCGTGGATGTTAATCACTTGATGAGAATTTCCAGCTGGGAGAAGCTGTAAGCAGATAGGTATTCCTGTGATATGACAGACCCAGTTGCCATTTTGTATATTACAAAAAAAAAGAAGCAGATCCTTTTAAAATTAAAATTATTATTTACATAAAATGTGAAATTATGTATGTTATAATTTGCCCATGCTTGTTCCAGTAGAAAAATACATATTTTCATAATGCATGCTATGTGACACAAGTCACTATTCCTGCAGTGCATTTCATGATATGTTGGGATTATTCTCATGTTTGAAATTTAATACAAATATAAATCCTTCTAGCTTCAGAACATTTGGTCAGCTGAAAGTGACAGACTTTATTTTGAATATTTCAGTTCTAATATAATATGAATGCTGAATTCTGCTTATATGATTGCTATATTTTATGCGAACAAAGAAGCCATCAGAGATAGCTTGGAGAAATTTGCAACCTTCTCTGAAGGTCAGATGATTTTTGAATGTTAATTAACAACAAAAAAAACCCTAGACTGTGTGGGACATAACAGAATTATAGCAGTGCAAAAGAAGTGAGAGGAAAAATGAACTCATTGTATATATATTCCTGTTCAGACACCCTTTATCCACACAGCCTTGGTGTTAGAACTAGTTGCTGTGCCACACCTGTGTGCTTTTGTCGAATGGGAAAAGTTCTTCGCATGAATTTTCAGTTAAACTGGATTTATTTTGTGCCAGAAGTCACAATAAAATCCCCTCCAGACTTCTCTAATTAATCAGATTCACTGTGTTCACATTTTTTCTATTAAAAGCTTCAGCTGCACTTATACATTCTCCATTACAGCTCATTCTTCTGCCTCAAAACTGTTTATAATTAAGTTACCAGGAAACTGTGTCTTTTATCTTAGGGGAGGAAGAAAAAGATGAGTTTTGTGACTGGAGCCAGTTCAAGTAAATCCAATAAAAGACTGGAAGCAACCCATTTACCTATAGGGGGAATGTCTTCTGGGGTAGCTAGGAGTTGGGGATTCATTTGCTTTTATGTCAATTTGCCTGCTCCTATGTGATTCAGTGCCAAGAAACTATATTAGTTTTTCAGGGATTGGATCGAAAGTGAAGAGTTTGCTGCTTTCAGTGAGAAAGTAACACAGATAATCCTGCAAGAAAAGTAAGGTATCAACTGGAATGGAAGCTCCCTAGTCAGTATCTGTTCAGTGGCAGTAGCTCACTTCCTTTAGGTGTGCATGTGCATGCACATGTTTGTGAAGGCTTCCAATTTAAAACAAGCTTTTCTTTTACATCCATGTTTTCCTCAGAAGTACCATGTTTTTTCTCACTTAGATTTTCTGCTCTGCCAATCACGTTGGATCAATTCAAGTCATCTCTGGGGGTGATGGCAGTACTCTAAAATGCAGCTGATTATCTTGCTCTGTGTGCTATTGCTATGCAATATAGGCACTGTTGATTTTAATGGCTACCACAGTGAATTCAGGGATCTTCAATTCCATCAGTAAGGCCAAGCATAAGCCTATATGCTTAAGTAGTCTACTGGTGGTGTTCACTGTAACTTGTGGTAAAGGATCTTGACATGAAAAGCTCTGAATCTTCATCACAGGAGAAACCTTGATCCTAAATCTTAATTGTCAGAAGGTCAGTAATCACAAGAACCATGACACACAGTGTGGGAGGGGAAAATGGAACTGATGTGTCAGGTGGCTGGGGTGTTGCCGTGATGTGATTTCACCTTCTGGAATCAGATATCACAAATAAAATACATTTACTCTGGTGGCCTGAGTTCCCCATTCATTCTGATTCAGCCAGAGTCATGCATTTATTATCATGTACTGCCTTCTACTAGGGGCTTGATAGGTCTGAAAACAGTCCATAATAGCTGAATAGGTAAGTTAGCAGTTATTTTCAACATATGTCACATTCATATGTTCATCATTCTGATCAGTTGCTCAACCTTAGCAGATTATGGAGAATCAGTGAACTTTCATTTCTGTATTATCATTTTCTTGAGGCACTCAACTCTCAATTATCTGAGGTGATGAAGGGTTTGATAGCTTGGTTAAAGATATTAATTATTCAGAATATGTCTAAAATTAAGCCACAAGAATATGGTGTGAGACTGTAACTGAAGGGAAAAAGGAAAGTTGGTGTGAAGCACAAAGATTTTGAGCAAGCACTGATCCAAAAAGGAAGATGGACAGTACAGCAACACTACCAACAAAGAAATCCTATTTCTGACTGGAGCTGGTTGTTGTGGAGCCATCTTAGAGGGTCTCTGGATATACTGTTTGCTCACCTATTAGATAACACCTTTCAAGATTTGACTCAAAAGAATTTTGTCTGTTTTAAAAATTTTCGATGGCAGAAAAAACAGTTTGCCAAATGTTACAGATATCTGCACACTTCCTTAAAGTTTTTCCTATTTTGTAGAACTTTAAAGTGCACATAGTTATGTCTTCTTCACTGATGGAAGAAAGAAGTATCTGGTGGTAGTTATTGAACTTACCTTCTTTTAACTTTTACAGTAGTAATCTATTCATCTCTTAATTACCTCTGAATATGATCACCACTTACAATTTTTTTTACCTCAGAACTTCCCTCCACTTCTGGAAGAAGAAATTAATGTTCTGTTTATCGATGCTATTTCTGTCTTCCTATAGTGCTCCTATAGACAACATTAAATACAGCTAGCCCAAATGCAATGAGCAGAGTTTTGACTAGTCATAACCATGCAGAAGTTCTGTCTCCATGAGGAGTTGTCATTGAAGCATCAGGCTACTGCAGTGGCATGACCTGAGCATTCACCTTAGTTCAACAGTTCTAGGGGTTGGGTTACTCACAAAGAATTTAGCAGCTGACAGTGAAGAGACAGGCCCTGCTTTTTCCTCTTCCCAACCCTGTCTCTAATTCTATTACTCTACTCAAAGAGAACATGATCACCCAGAAAAGTTAACTGCTGCAAAACAGCTCTCTCCTCATCCAACAGCCCATCTGGCTGCAGATAGGAAGCCTGCAAGTGTGAACCCACCTTTACCTCCCATGATGTTATGTTTTGTCCTTCTCATTCCCCATGCAGAGAAAAAAAGTAATGCTTCAAGTTATGTGAATATATATATATATATATGCACAAACAAATGAAGACTGTAGAAAGACTGCTCACCAGTAATTTACTCTGTAAGGTGTCCTGTTCTGCTACCTATTCTCCTTTCTCTCTGATTCCCTGTTCAAGGGCTTCTATGCTTGAGAGAAACAATTAGAGGTAATAGAGCACATATTGAGGATTATGCCTAAAGCAGACATCTCTTCCACTGATTTCTTCTCTTGACCAAAGCAATCAGTAACACCTTGAACTTCAGCCAACTGCTCGGGTCAGTAAAGGGCAGCATGTTGCTAGAATGTAGGATTTCATAAAAGGAATAGTATTCCTTAGCAGTCTGCTTTGGACATTATTAAGTGATAAAAAGTAGATTAAATCTTTCATTAAGCTGGCATGCTGTTTATTTCGGTCTCTTTAAGCTTTCGGTATAACATAGTGTTTAAATATCCAGAGTTGACTGTTACAATATGCTTCTAATTAGACTTTGCTTTAGAGTTGATCTGCAAAGTGCAGTAGGAGTAGAATTCATCATAGTGTGCTCTAGAGGACAGAGGTAAATGTAATAGTTATATTTGTAGTCCACACTTGCAGCGAGTCCAGATTGGCAAGGAAAAGCCTTCTCTGTTTAGACTTAGAAACCTTTTCTGTAGTCCAACATTTACAGTTAGTAAAGGTGTTTCTCCTTTCAGTATGCCTCTTCAAATCAGTAAATGTTTGATCTGATGCCTCAGTGTGAAAGTTTGCCTTAGTCTATGAAGTCTGTTTGCTTCCCTTAGCCAATAAAAGGGCAAAACAGATTTAAAAAAAAGAAAAAAAAAGGGAAATCCCTTTCAATCCCTTTCAGTTTCATCACATGGGAAAACACTAGGACATTCTGTTTCATAATTTGCCAAATGCCTTTGCTTAGAATCGCTTTGGTCTCCAACTGTCTTGAAATACGTTGTAGCTGTTTTCTTTATCCGAAACATACAATGATAAATGCTATTGGAACATAACTAAATAAATATAAACTGTATTTTAAATGTCAAGAGACTTTGTCAGTGAGCAGACCACAGATGATTAAAATGTAATCTTATATAAGATGTAGCCCCAAACAAGAATAAAATAAAATAAAATAAAATAAAATAAAATCCCATACAAATTAGAAGTCTTTCCAGCTGAGAAAAGGAGAGGAATGTTTGGATTGTTCTGCTCTGTTGGTAGACCTAAAATTACTATTTTTCCTCTTGCTGTCCTATGCATTTGGTTATTAGATACTCTTATTAAAGCAGTTCTTCTGAGATCACTTTCTGAAAACATTTTGCTTAACAAATACTTGTTAATCCAGAAAAGATACTTTTAGTCCTCAAAAGTAAGAGTAAAATTATTACAAAG